CAATTTAGTCTTTCTTAAATGTTAAGATGGTTAAGAAAATCCGGATAAGAATGAAAATAATTAAAATAAAAATCTTTGCAGCATCTCCATATGATAGTGAAGAAGAGCAATTAAAAGATTATCTAAAAATTTAAAGACAACATTAAAAACAGCTACTATTGTACCATAGATTAATATAATGCATCTGTTTATTAGAAGAGTATACTCATTTATCTTGAGAATTACTTAGTATCTGTTAATTTAATATTTTAAGTACCAGATGTATATTAAATAAATGTTAACATAATATCAAGTTATATAATCAACCATTTCTTTCAAAGGTAGAAATACAGTTATGCAAACAGATACATTATTACATAAATATAATCACAGCCTAATTAAACGTAATCTGATTTTATAACTGTAAATATATATGATTGCCAATTCGTCTTCTATAATTGTAATCTGCTACATTCAAGCCATGAATTTTTACAATGGGTTTAAATGACAGAGACCAAACATTATAGATAATTATAAACATACAACTATAGAGTTAGTTAAGGGGTGCAGTGCAGTAAATATTACAAGCTTCAACTCACACTTAATAGCGTGAGATTGTTGACTGCACTCCCCGACCAACAATTCCTTCAATTAGGTCAATCATTTCTGTACCATCGATTACACGGTTACTTGGCATTTGTGCAGGCGGTGAGCCACAGCCTCAGCTCCTCCAGTCAGTTTAACACCCTAATCTATAAGTCTAAAAAGTGCCAGACTTTATTAATATTGCAGCATTCCTGCCATTAATAATGAAGCATGCCTTCCTAACTTGTTTCAAGTAGATAATGGAAAGCATAAATGACTTGCTATATAATGTAAAGGGTGCCTCGGAATGCATGACGAGATGGTCGATAAATTTCTTTCGATGATTTAGACGATACCTATGGTCCAATGAGTGTTCTCCACTTGCTTGTCATACTGGAGTGAAAGCCAGTTATTAACTAATAAATCAACAATATTAATAATATTCTGTAAAGTAATTTATACATAACAAGAGGAATAGTTAGTAAATCTTGAATCTATGATATACGCTTACTAATAGTTAAACCGGCCTCTACCAGAATACAGGTGATCTTAACATCGCTAGGAGGCTGAAAACGTTGTGGACGAGAGATTTATTGAAATTTTCTTTTACTTGTAAAATAGGTATTTATTATTCCTTGTACCTGAAATTCCATTAATTTATAACTGATATTGGCAGGCAGTACTCCAATAGCCAGTTAGATTAGACAGGTATGGATTCATAAATACAGCTTCAAATCTCCATCTTTTAATTTACAATCTACAATGGAATATACATAACAGATACAAACATATCATATGCCATATTTGAAGTATTCTGGTAGTATATTCTTCAATCTTCTCAAGATACATTGCCTGATTGTGTAACTTCTAAATGATGCTGGGGCAAAATAGATGATTTCATAGAACCATTAGAAATCCTTATTCCTTTCTTACAATTTACTGAAGATTTACAATTACCGATAAAAGACGATTTTTGTTATGTAAGATAGTAGCCTTCAACCTTCTGCTATACTATGATACACTTAACAATAAATTATACTGTGACGAATAAAAAAGTAATCTTGGCAGTTTTTAAGGATATACTTAAAAATTAATTACAAAACTAAGTACACTGTTGGACATTACAGATATTTCTTGTTTTCTTCATGGCTGCTTTTCGTTTATTTTGGTTTACTGAATTCATATCTAAGGCAGATCAATTATTTATTCTGTTTCATTGGCCATGGATTGACCCTGAGGTTAGGTGGCCCTCCTGGATCACATCCAGCCTCTATAGATAATGGTACTCTTGATTAAATAATTGATTATGTATGAAATCCTGAGCGTGACCTTGGTCAAATCTCCTCCTGGTGCAGCTTTTGACCAAGAAACATTACCTTTCCTACATCGTACAGAACACCCTTCATGGGTTGCAATGGTATAGAGGTTTTTTTTCTTGTTTTTTTTTCAGAAATCCAACTCTGATTCACTGTATGTATGTATGTAACGATAAGGTAGAAAAACTGTGATCTACTTAGACCAATATAATTTTCAACCAATTTATTTGTTCGAACTATCGGAAACATGTCGTACATTTTGTTAATAATAAACTTAAGAACTATTAAATTAATTTTCTAAATACTTACTTGTGAACCTCATTTAATACGGTCCATTGTTACATTCCAAGAAGTTCCTTTTTCAATTGATGCAAATCTCGCTAAATTCTTCCTCTACACTTGTCTGATAGTGCTCCAAAATTATTAGAAAAGTTATTCTAATAAAATTGAGAAATCCCAATAGATGGTATCCGCTCTTGCATACAGCCAACATTTACTAATAATGACATCAACGACTGTACATCAATAATGTGGAAAATTTATTGTAGACAAGAATAAGAATGGTTTCTAAGTTTTGGTACAATAGCATTTTATAGGATTAAACTTTATAAAATAGTTCAATAAAAAAATTATCTAATTAATATATCAAATTAAACAAAATATAGTACAAACTTAGAAATCCAATAGGAATCTTTGAATTACTGAAAATTTCGTATTACAAAGAATTATTGTTAATATTTACGTATAACTGTATTAAGTAGATACATTACTTCAAGTGATCACTTGAAAACATAAGATTTGTTGCTACGGCTTATTTTTCTCAGTTGACTTATTCTTCAAAAAAATTGGTGATTACAATGAGTTACAAGATTTATTATTGTTTAATTTTTACCTAATCAGCTCGTGTGAATAGGAACTTAAAGAATATTATTATTATTAATATTTTCAGAATTTCGCACTTCCTCAGCCATTGCTGGGAATATTCACCTACCCAGACTCGATAAATCAAGGGTTAGGCTCTGTTTAGGAAATATTAAAAAATTTCCTGACCATGCCGGTAGTCATTAGTAGCAAAGCTTTTTGGCATTCTTCTACGATATAATCAGAAGTCCCAATACTTTGCATGTTCTTATTGTATCCTCTTGGACCAATCCATTGATTTGGACCAACTTTCCTTCCTTTAGGCTGTTGAGTTGTTTCAGTCCCTCACAGAGCTTTTGATATTTTTTTATCTTCACTCCGACCAATTTTTGTATATTTTTATTATTGGGATCTCCTATCTCAATTATTGCAGCCATCTTTCCTTTTTACATATAACCAGAATATCTAATGGTCAGTATTATAGGTTGGTCAGAAAAGATAGATTGCGGGGTGTAACGAAAGTAAGGTTTTGATCCCTTATGAAATTAATATCTGGCCAATGCTTGGGCAGATTACTTTTGTCAAGTTATTATGCTTTTTAAGGTTTATTATTAAGGCAAGTTGAAAGTCTGATAAATAGATAAAGAACTATTTTCAATTTTATCATCCCGGAATCATATGTAGGTTCACTAAAAAGATTAGAAATATTCATTCATTAGCAATCCTCATGCATTTGCTATCTAGAATTTTATAAAGACTTATTTCTCAAAAATTACTTTTAGTTAAAAATAAAATTTATGTAAGGTTTAGTAATAAAACTCAGGCCATGCTCTAATTAATATAAATTACTTTGAAGAGAGAAAAAAAATATTTCAAAAATGCTTAAACAGATTTCAACATGCTTAAACAGATTTCAACATATACTATATTATAACATCTATTTAGACTTACTTGTCTTGTCTTTAACATTCCGAAGGTCGCAGGCTTAAGAGTTGCCTATGGATCTGTGAGATCCACTGCTCTACACCAATTTGTTCATAATTGATACAAAAAAATTCATCATTCTTTAAGGATAGAAAAAGATATAGATTGAATTTGAATATATATTTTTATTACTTATTATTACAATGAATATTAAAAATTAAAATGAAAATTACATATGTTTGAAAGCGCTTGAAAAAAATATTCCGTTATATGAGGTTTCTCTTGTCCTGGAGAGGAGGGGACCTTAAGAAAGTATTAATTCGAGAAGACTAAAGATTTTGATAATCTTGACTCGTTGGTGATCCAAGGAAATTCTGCTGAAGAAGAAGCCGCATGCCATAGGAACATAGCAGCAAATCGGTGCTTTTTCTATGGTGAGGAGATTCCGGGGCTCTCTTCAGAGCTGTATCTCTGTAAGATGATTGTGTGTAGCCATGAAAGAGGAATCCTCGGTCATATGCCAGGAGATTTAGACTATGTTTACTGAGCCTAATATAGCCCCAGTGATAATGACTGCAATAATTAGACGGGTAGCAAGTACCCATTAAGATTGTTGCTGCTAGAACCATTCTATCGTGCCAGAAGAGAATGACTCAGACGATGGGCTGATGGTATTACTGCTGATGCAAGGAACCATCTTCAAAATTACATAGTGACCACTAGAGAAAAAGAACGTTAGTAGAAGCTGCTGAAAGAGTTCTAAATTTGACAATGGATTGGAGAAACGCACTAATAACATATGCTTGATAACTAATGAAAATACAAAAACATTAAATTTTGAATACTATTAAAATAAGAGATCGAATATCACTTACCATAAGGAAAAATTAGGTTCAGATCAAGTTGCATGAGTTATAACTAATTAAAAACCACACATGCTTAACAAAATCATTCGGAACCAAAACGTTAAATTTTAAATGTGGGTAAACATTAACACAAACACCACAGTTAACTTACAAACAATTAAATTTTGATCTGATTGGATTAGCTATTATTAAAAGAAAAATAACACATGCTTGACAAAAACACTAGGAACTGAATATGTTAAACATACCTAATATTCACCGATCACTGCTTTGCAATTACTCACTTTCTATCACATCAATAAAGTTATTGTGTATATAATGTTGAGGGCACAATTACTAGTCTCATAATCGGCAAGAAGAAAATATAATATGGAACGAATCAGCAATACTTAATTATTAGGTCTCTAAGGAACTCACAAATCCCACTCTATTAATAGGTAAAAAAACTGCAAGCGGCAGAGATCCCGCCATGACTGGGTCACAAGAGTTAGGAATGAGGATTCTCCTCCCCAAAGACTGCTCAGCATATCTCTCTGATAGGGCTCAACGACCTTCTGAGTGTTGAAGAGAAGCTGAAATGGCATTCACCTAAGTCTACCGAATATAATTTTTTTATTTTACTGTTGGAAGTTATTACTGGAAACATAAAAGCCATTTTTTTTTACATACTTAAATTCTTAAAAAGCAACATTACAGTTGAATGCAATAATCATTTGTCATAAATTACTACATAAGGAGTTACTAATATTGTAAGTTCTTAATATCGTTCATGTATTATTAATATTTAAAAAGAATATTACCATATCTTATCCTGAAAATTTTTAATTACTAATAGTAAACAATACACTAATTTACATGCTTCCATGTAAACTAAATTAGACTGAAATGTAATCAGAAAAAAACGTCAATGTTTCATTAACTAACTTACAGGAGAATTGAGTTTTTGTTAATCTATTGATTATATAGAACCATTAGAAATTCAGATTCATATTTAAAAATAATTTTTCAAAAAATTGGCCATCACAGAGAGTTACTCATTATAAGACTTATTGCTAAATTTTGAACCAATTAGTCCATGTGAATAGGAACTGAAAGATCATTATTATTATTATTAATATTTTCAGAATTTCGCACTTCCTCAGCCGTTGCTGGGAATATTCACCTATCCAGACTCAATGATCCAAGGATTAGGCTCTGTTAAGGAAATAATTAAAAAAAGTTAAAAAAAAAAAAATTAAAAAACTATACCGATGGTCCCTAGTGCTCAGCTTTCTGACCTAAAATATAATCAGGAAGTCCCAATACTTTGCAAGTTCTTACCGTTTCCTCTGGGACCAATCCATTGCTACTAGAAACATAAAAGCCTTTTTTTACTATCCTTAAATTCCTAAAATGCAACATTACAGTTGAATGCAATAATCATTTATCATCAATTACTACATAAGGAGTTACTAATATCGTAAGTTTCTCTACATGTATTATTAATATTTAAAAAGAATATTACCATATCATATCCTGAAAATTTGAATTGCTATAACAGTAAACAATACTGTATAATTCCATGTTAACTAAATTAAACTGAATCAGACAAAAAAAGTCAATGGTTCAATAACTAACTTACAGCAGAATTGAGTTGTTGTTAATCTATTGATTTTGTAGAACCATTATAAATTCAGATTCATATTTTAAAAATCATTCTTCGAAGAATTGGCCATCACAGAGAGATACTAATTATAAGATTTATTATCTAACAGTATTATTGCTAAATTTTGAACCAATCAGCCTGTGTGAATACGAACCGAAAGATCATTATTATTATTATTTTTAATATTTTCAGAATTTCGCACTTCCTCAGCCATTGCTGGGAATATTCACCTATCCAGACTCAATGATCCAAGGATTAGGCTCTGTTAAGGAAATAATTAAAAAAAAAAAAAAAAAAAAATTAAAAAACTATACCGATGGTCCCTAGTGCTCAGCTTTCTGACCTAAAATATAATCAGGAAGTCCTAATACTTTGCAAGTTCTTACCGTTTCCTCTGGGACCAATCCATTGCTACTAGAAACATAAAAGCCTTTTTTTATTATCCTTAAATTCCTAAAATGCAACATTACAGTTGAATGCAATAATCATTTATCATCAATTACTACATAAGGAGTTACTAATATCGTAAGTTTCTCTACATGTATTATTAATATTTAAAAAGAATATTACCATATCATATCCTGAAAATTTGAATTGCTATAACAGTAAACAATACTGTATAATTCCATGTTAACTAAATTAAACTGAATCAGACAAAGAAAGTCAATGGTTCAATAACTAACTTACAGCAGAATTGAGTTGTTGTTAATCTATTGATTTTGTAGAACCATTATAAATTCAGATTCATATTTTAAAAATCATTCTTCGAAGAATTGGCCATCACAGAGAGATACTAATTATAAGACTTATTATCTAACAGTATTATTGCTAAATTTTGAACCAATCAGCCTGTGTGAATACGAACCGAAAGATCATTATTATTATTATTATTAATATTTTCAGAATTTCGCACTTCCTCAGCCATTGCTGGCAATATTCACCTATCCAGACTCAATGATCCAAGGATTAGGCTCTGTTAAGGAAATAATTAAAAAAAGTTAAAAAAAAAAAAATTAAAAAACTATACCGATGGTCCCTAGTGCTCAGCTTTCTGACCTAAAATATAATCAGGAAGTCCTAATACTTTGCAAGTTCTTACTGTTTCCTCTGGGACCAATCCATTGCTACTAGAAACATAAAAGAATTTTTTTACTATCCTTAAATTCCTAAAATGCAACATTACGGTTGAATGCAATAATCATTTATCATCAATTACTACATAAGGAGTTACTAATATCGTAAGTTTCTCTACATGTATTATTAATATTTAAAAAGAATATTACCATATCATATCCTGAAAATTTGAATTGCTATAACAGTAAACATTACTGTATAATTCCATGTAAACTAAATTAAACTGAAATGTAATCAGAAAAAAAAAGTCAATGGTTCAATAACTAACTTACAGCAGAATTGAGTTGTTGTTAATCTATTGATTTTGTAGAACCATTATAAATTCAGATTCATATTTTAAAAATCATTCTTCGAAGAATTGGCCATCACAGAGAGATACTAATTATAAGACTTATTATCTAACAGTATTATTGCTAAATTTTGAACCAATCAGCCCGTGTGAATACGAACTGAAAGATCATTATTATTATTATTAATATTTTCAGAATTTCGCACTTCCTCAGCCATTGCTGGGAATATTCACCTACCCGGACTAAATGATCCAAGGATTAGGCTCAGTTTAGGAAATATTTCAAAAAAGTTTGACCATGCCGATGGTCCCTAGTAGCTCAACTTTCTGACATTCTTCTAAAATATAATCAGGAAGTCCCAATACTTTGCAAGTTCTTACCGTTTCCTCTGCGACCAATCCATTGCTTGAAATGATGAAAAGTAACACCTTTCCCTGAAGTTATAGTCTGAATATTATGAATTACTTTGGTGTCGTAATATAGTATGATCTACTTTTCACAATTTCTGGTTATGTCTAAAAACGTTTGTCAGGCTTCTTATAGCAGTTTTTCTATTATTTCTATCCATTCCTTAAAAAAGACCTATTAGAAGTGCAGAAAAGCTGCACAATACAATTTAATTCCACAAATTACTTTAATTATATTAAAAATACCTGACACAGATTGTATTTCTTACAAGAGAATGATGATCGACTGCTGTATGTTAGTCCAGATATATTTTGGAAGATTTCTTTTCCATAATTGATATAATCTGAATGATCTCTTGGCATTACAAAGAAGAAGTCCCACCGCAAACATTCATCGGTACCAATGGTCCGGTCCTACAGCCCGATGTGTACCCTGGCCTCCTCAATGTGCCTTAGCGAGGTGGAGGAGTCCTGTGCAGCCGCTCTCCCATTCCGTACAACCAAAAGGGGCCGAGCATCCTTAATGACTCCCAATAGTCATGTTTCCCCAATAGTAGGTTCTTACAGATTCCTTCCATCGTTCATTTTATTAAGTTAATTCAGTGGTTGACTAAGATACATTTCTCACAAATGTCTAAAAACGTTTGTCAGACTTCTTAGAGCAGATTTTCTGTAACTTTCTTCTCTTCCTTAAAAAAAGTCTTTTAGATGTGCAGTGAAACTGCACAAAACAAATTGAATCCGCAAAGTACTTCATTTCAATAGAAATTTTTGTATTAATTGTAGTAAAAATACTTATTAGAGATTGTATTACTTACAAGACGAAGAACACGAATGTTGTCAGTTAGTCCAGAAGAATTTAAGATGATTTTTTTCCTTTCTAATAATATGAATAAAATTGTAGTTCTTATAAAAACATTGTGAATTCCCCTAGCATTAAAATAAAGGAGAACCCACTTCAATAGTTCATCAGACTTCTTAAGACAGATTTTCTATTATTCTTATGGTTTCCTTAAAAAATATCTTTTAGAAGTGCAGAAAAATTGCACGATACAAATTGACTCTGCAAGGTACTTACAAGGAAATTTATTTATTAATAATGATAAAAATACCTGATACAGATCGTAATGCATGGCAGCTGATGACGATTTTCCGTATTCAGTTAGACCACAAATAGTTCAGATAATTTCTTTAACATGCTAATATTATTCATGAACTTATTGTTCAGATAAAAAAATTACGAATCACATTCCATTAGTCTTATGTCTTCCTTAAAACACATATTTTAGAAGTGCAGAAAAACTACACAATACAAGTTGACTCCACAAAGTAGTACAATTTAATAAGAATTAGTAGAAAATTATAAGAAATATACATGTTAAAAGATTGTATTACTTAAAAGATTAAGATGATGACTGTTGTCAGTTAGTCCACAAGTATTTAAGATGATTTATTTACCTTGCTAATGTTATGAATGAAAATTAAGTTCTAAGTAAATATTAGAAGTGCAGAAAAAACCACATGATACAAATTAACTCCACAAAGTAGTACAATTTAATAGGAATTTGTAAAAAATTATAAGAAATATACATGTTAAAAGATTGTATTACTTACAAGATTAAGATGATGACTGTTGTCAGTTAGGTTAGTCCACAAGTATTTAAGATGATTTATTTACCTTGCTAATGTTATGAATGAACATAAGTTGTAAAAAAATATTAGAAGTACAGAAACACCGCACAATACAAATTGACACCACAAAGTAGTACTATATGATAGGAATTTGTTAAAAATTAATAGAAATATACATGTTAAAGATTGTATTACTTACAAGATTAAGATGATTTATTTACCTTGCTAATGTTATGAATGAAAATAAAGTTCTAAAAAAATATTAGAAGTGCAGAAAAACCGCACGATACAAATTGACTCCACAAAGTAGTACAATTTAATAAGAATTTGTAGAAAATTATAAGAAAGCGAAAAATCATTTAAAAAAAAAATTATAAGAATAATCATTACCTTGCTAATGATATGAATGAAAATAAAGTTGTAAAAAAATATTGCGAATTACCGTAATATTAAAATAAAGAAGAACACGCTTCAAACATTCGTCAGACTTTTTAAGGCAGATTTGGTATTATTCTGATCTCTTTCATAAAAAACATCTCTTAGAAGTGAATAAAAACTGCACGATATAAATTGACTCCAATAAGTAGCACAATTTGATAGGAATTTGTTAAAAATTAATAGAAATATACATGTTAAGGATTGTATTACTTACAAGATTAAGATGATTTATTTACCTTGCTAATGTTACGAATGAAAATAAAGTCCTAAAAAAATATTAGAAGTGCAGAAAACCGCACAATTCAAATTAACTCCATAAAGTACTTCAATGTAATAGAAATATTGTTATTAGTCACAATAGAAATACCTATTATAAACGAGAGGAAGATGACGACTGTTGTCAGGTAGCCCAGGTGTATTTCAGAAGAATTTTTTCCCTTGCTAATATTATGAATGAAATTATAGTTCTAATAAAAATATTGCTACTTCCCCTCGCAATTAACTAAAGGGAAACCCGCTTCAATAGTTCGTCTGACTTCTTAGGACAGATTTTCTGTTATTGTGATCTCTTCCTTAAAAAAAGATCATTTAGAAGTGCAGAAATGCTGCACAATACAAATCAACTCCATAAAGTACTACAATTTAGTAGGAATTTTTTTTATTAATTATAATAAAAATACCTCGCGCGGGCTCATTACCGCGTATGGGGAGCGTCCCACGGGTGGCGGATGTGGGGATGGTCGGTGGAAATTCCTTGGAAGTTCCTCCCGGCTAAGTCCGATGGACTCGCTGACCAACAATGAGAGGGGCCCTCCAGACTTGCTGAAGATAGGGGCCCACCAGACTTGCTGGAGGGTGTGACGTAGGATTGAACGCCCTACTCACATATCTTTAGTTCACCAAACACCACAAAAAGTCATGGATCTCCCTAAGGTAAAACGCTCATTATCCGGAGGTAAACTAGTCCCCCGTTCGGGTCTCCGGGTGGGGACTGCTTTAGGGGATTCATGGCGCAAGTTGAAATATAGGGATTTAAATATTGGTACGTGGAACGTAAGGAGTTTAAACACAGCAGGGGGGCTAAAATCGGTCGCGAATGAGGTAAATGGGTACAATTTGGATGTCGTGGCTCTGCAAGAGGTTCGCTGGCCAGGGGAGGGCTCGATGAGGGAAGGAAAGTACACTATTTGGTACGGAGGAAGCGGGAATCATTGTTTGGGTACCGGGTTTCTAATTAGGAGTAGATTACTATCCGCTTTGAGGGACGTACAATTCTTTAGTGATAGAATTTCGGTAGCTACATTTCAGGGACGTTGGTTTAAAATCGCATTAATAAACATACATTGTCCGACCGAAGACAGTGACGATGAAGTCAAAAGTGAATTTTACGATAAACTCGAATGGGTTTATGATAAACTACCGCGAAACTACATGAAAATAATTGTAGGTGACGCGAACGCAAAGGTAGGAAGGGAAGAAGTTTATATTCCGACGATTGGTAAAGAAAGTTTGCACGAATATAGTAATGATAATGGGATCCGTCTGATAAACTTTGCCATCTCGAAAAACCTGATAATTAAAAGTACGACGTTTAAACACAGGATATTCATAAATATACTTGGACATCACCGGATTCGCAAACACGAAATCAAATCGATCATGTCTTGATACAACACAGCTGGCAAAGCAGTATAATTAATGTACGGTCTTATCGCGGAGCAGAATGTGGGTCGGATCATGAATTAGTAATCGCGAAACTTCGACAAAAACTTAATATAAAAAAGAGAAAGAAAACCGTTTCGATTTTGAGAATTTTAATTTGGAAAAATTAAAAAATCCATCAATTAGAAACCAATTCGAGCTAGATGTTAAGAATAGGTTTGAAGCTTTAGAGCTTCCTGACGAGGACCACGAGGATATTGACAAGTTATGGTAGAGATCAGGGATAATATTAAAGCGGTCGGTAACTCGTGTCTAGGAAAAAAGGAAAATAAGAATAACAAACCGTGGTTTGATGAAGATTGCTTAAACATGTGTGAAAAAAGAAAAGCCGCTAAATTAAAAGCTCTAAATAATCCTAGCGAAGACAATCTGGAATACTTCCGAATCTCAAAGAACGAAACGACAAAATTGCTCAAAAATAAAAAAAGGGAGTATCTTAAAAATAAAATAATTGAAATAGAAACTAATAGAATCGAAAATAACGTAAGAGACATGTACAAAGGTATAAACAGATCACGTAAATATGTAGGGCCCGTAACGTCTGGAATTAGGGATGATAATAACAATATTCTGACCGATCCGGTTGACATATTGAATAAGTTTAAGGACCACTTTGACAATATTTTAAATACGGGAAATTATGATCTGTGTCCTCCTTCTGAGTACCAGAGTGCTGAACCGTTAATAGAAGGACCAAGTAAAGAGGAAGTTGAAGTAGCTATCGGAAAATTAAAATCATATAAAGCAGCGGGAATCGATAATATTCCTACTGAACTAATTAAGGCATGCGGGAAGCTGGAGTTTCTAAAATACATCGGTTGGTTAAAAAGATCTGGGTGAACGAGAAATTACCTGAAGAATGGAAAGAATCTATTCTTATTCCGATTCACAAAAAGGGTCCGAGGACGGATTGTAATAACTATCGAGGAATTTCACTCCTTCCGGTATGTTATAAAATATTCACTTTAATCTTAACCAGTCGAATCACGGAATACGCCGAGGAAATTATCGGAGACTACCAATGCGGATTTAGACGGAATCGTTCGACTATTGATCAAATATTTTCTTTACGGCAAATATTAGAGAAAAAATTGGAGTATAACGGTATTGTTCACCAGCTGTATATAGATTTTAAAAAGGCTTACGATTCTATTGACCGCCAGAAACTGTATAATATTCTAATCGAGCAGGGGATTCCAAAAAAACTAGTAAATCTAGTCAGGATGTGCTTGACGGAGACACTCAATAAAGTTAGAATCGGTAATAATTTGTCCGAAAAATTTGAGGTTCGTTCGGGCTTAAAACAGGGGGATTCTCTTTCGCCTGTCCTGTTCAATTTGGCATTAGAACATGCCATTAGGGAGGTAATGCGAACCGAGAAAGGGTTGGATCTGGGGGACAACATCCGTGCTGGGCTATGCTGATGATCTGGTACTGTTAAGCGAAGACGTTGAAACTATAAAACTAAATACGACAACGTTAATGAAAGCCGGTAAAGAACTAGGACTCGAAATAAACGTGGATAAAACAAAATATATGGTTAGCTGCAAAAATGGCGATACTACTGGTGATATCGATATAGATGGTAATATGTTTGAACAGGTAGATAAATTTAGGTATCTAGGTTCTACGATAACTAGAAAAAACGAAATTGAAGAAGAGATTAAGGTTAGACTGAAGGCGGGAATGCTTGTTATTTTTCTGTGACAAAACTACTTAGTTCGCGCCTCTTGTCCCGAAACTTAAAAATTAGAATCTATAAAACAATTATCTTGCCTACAGTTCTTATGGATGCGAAACTTGGCCGCTTACATTAAGGGATGAGCAGCGTCTTAAGGTTTTTGAAAATATTCGGACCGAAGAAGGATGAGTTAACCGGAGAGTTCAGACGGTTACACAACGCCGAATTGCGTGAGCTGTATCCGGGTAATATAATTGAGGTAATTTCATCGCGGCGAATCAAATGGGCTTAAAGTTGTTGGGCTTAGTAACGAGAGAATTCCTAAAAGGTTAATATTTGCTGTGCCGAATGGTAAGCGTCCGAGGGGTAGACCGAAGCGAAGGTGGAAGATTGCATTAAAGCCGATCTGAAGGGACTGGGTTTGGACGGCGAACGGTGGAGGGAGGTGTGTAACAAGTGATTGGTGGTGTTGGCATCGAACCTTCGGGTTCGCTAAGCCTTTTATTATTATTATTACTAATGTTTTTAATATATTAACTCCTACAACCCCTCTTGTCAACTCTGTTTACGTGTTGAGTATGAGATTAACAATTCTCTTCCTGGACAAACTACTTTCTGAATCCAGTTGCATCCAATTCTAAACCCATTAACTTTTTTTTTCCTGAGAATAATTTATTTATTGAAGAAAAAGAACACAATCTACCACTATCAAGGGCAATAGACATTAACTGTCTAAAATATGACAAATAAAAATACTTTAATAATTAAAATAAAAATTAATTAATATGTATATACAAACTAAAAATTTAATAGCAAAACAAAAAATAGTAGGTATAATATAATAGTAATAGAATAATTTGTATACAACATAAAGTAAATTCAATTTAAGTAAAAATAAAATAATTTTATCTCAAATAATAAACGCTCCTTGCTTATTTCCTAAATATTACATGTACTAGAAGTCAACAGCTCATTATCCATCCTTTTTAAAGTTTTATTTATTACTTTTTTTTACCAATTTATGTTTATCGCTGTTTTACCTCATTTCTCAATGGCTTAGACCTACTTATGATAACACAAAATATTATATTACATCCACTGACTGCTATAAAAATAAGGCTTAATATCATAGACATTATAATAACCAATCCAACTCCTTTACCATCCAAAAATAAATATAGTAAAAAAAATCATCCATTATTGCCTTTCCCTACCTGATTTCTGTCACCATGAGAATAACATCAGTTTTAAAATATACCCAATAGCTTTAACTAACAGCTTCATAGACGCCGACTACCATGGCTTAAGCTCCGCCCCAAGATATTGCTATAGTATGAACATCATGAACATATCAGTCGTGTAAATTAAACGGTATTGTATATATCAACTAGCAGGTATACTAGAATTTATTTGACGGGCATTTATTTAATTATAATAAAAATACTCGATACAGATTGTATTACTTACAAGATGAAGATCACGACTGTTGTCAGTTAATCCACAAGTATTTCAGATGATTTATGAACCTAGCTGATAACAATAAAATTAAAGTTATAATAAAAAGAGTTATAATTATCTCTTGGCAATACTACTTCAAAGGTTCACTCATTAATTCCAATGGTCCGGTCCTACAGCCAGATGCGGACCCTGGGCTCTTCAATGAGCCTTACAAGATGGCTCGGTCCTGTGCAGCCACTCCCTCATTCCATATTCCCAATGCACCCCTTAGCATATTAAGTACCCTTAGGCCAGAGTATCCTTAATGACCGCCACGATTCTGGAAGTTTGCTAAATAGCAGTTTCTTTGAGATTCCTTCCGTCATTCATTTTATTAAGTGTGGTCGACTGAGGCAGGCCAGCAATGTAGCAAGGATGAACCTACTGCAAACATTTCTCACTAATGTCTAAAAACGTTTGTCAGTCTTCTTAGAGCAGTTTTTCTATTATTTCTACCTATTCCTTAAAAAAGACCTATTAGAAGTGCAGAAAAGCTGCACAATACAATATAATTCCACAAATTACTTTAATTATATTAAAAATACCTGACACAGATTGTATTTCTTACAAGAGAAAGATGATCGACTGCTGTATGTTAGTCCAGATATACTTCGGAAGATTTCTTTTCCATAATTGATATAATCTGAATGATCTCTTGGCATTACAAAGAAGAAGTCCCACCACAAACATTCATCGGTACCAATGGTCCGGTCCTACAGCCCGATGTGTACCCTGGCCTCCTCAATGTGCCTTAGCGAGGTGGAGGAGTCCTGTGCAGCCGCTCTCCCATTCCGTACACCCAAAAGGGGCCGAGCATCCTTAATGGCCCCCAATAGTCATGTTTCCCCAATAGTGGGTTCTTACAGATTCCTTCCTTCGTTCATTTTATTAAGTTAATTCAGTGGTTGACTGAGATAGGCCGGTAATATAAAAAGAATGAAGCTAATGCAAACTTTTCTCTTCCTTAAAAAAAGTCTTTAAGATGTGCAGTGAAACTGCACAATACAAATTGAATCCGCAAAGTACTTCATTTTAATAGAAATTTTTGTATTAATTATAGTAAAAATACTTATTAGAGATTGTATTACTTACAAGACGAAGACACGAATTTTGTCAGTTAGTCCAGAAGAATTTAAGATGATTTTTTTCCTTTCTAATAATATGAATAAAATTGTAGTTCTTATAAAAACATTGTGAATTCCCCTCGCATTAAAATAAAGGAGAACCCACTTCAATAGTTCATCAGACTTCTTAAGACAGATTTTCTATTATTCTTATGGTTTCCTTAAAAAATATCTTTTAGAAGTGCAGAAAAACTGCACGATACAAATTGACTCTACAAGGTACTTACAAGGAAATTTATTTATTAATAATGATAAAAATACCTGATACAGATCGTAATGCATGGCAGCTGATGATGATTTTCTGTTTTCAGTTAGACAACAAATAATTCAGATAATTTCTTTATTATGCTAATATTATTCATGAACTTATTGTTCAGATAAAAAAATTACGAATAACATTCCATTAATCTCATGTATTCCTTAAAACACATATTTTAGAAGTGCAGAAAAACTACACAATACAAATTGACTGCTCAAAGCAGTACAATTTGATAGAAATTTGTAAAAAATTATAAGAAACATACATGTTAAAGATTGTATTACTTACAAGATTAAGATGATTTCTTTACCTTGCTAATGTTATGAATGAAAATAAAGCTCTAAAAAAATATTAGCAGTCCAGAAAAACTGCACGATACAAATTGATTCCACAAAGTAGTACAATTTAATAAGAATTAGTAGAAAATTATAAGAAATATACATGTTAAAAGATTGTATTACTTAAAAGATTAAAATGATGACTGTTGTCAGTTAGTACACAAGTATTTAAGATGATTAATTTACCTTGCTAATGTTATGAATGAAAATTAAGTTCTAAGTAAATATTAGAAGTGCAGAAAAAACCGCATGATACAAATTGACTCAACAAAGCAGTACATTTTTATAGGAATTTGTAAAAAGTTATAAGAAATATACATGTTAAAGATTGTATTACTTACAAGATTAAGATGATTTATTTACATTGCTAATGTTATGAATGAAAAAAAATAAAAAAAAAATATTAGCAGTCCAGAAAAACTGCACGATACAAATTGACTCTACAAAGTACTTGCAAGGAAATTTATTTATTAATAATAATAAAAATACCTGATACAGATCGTAATGCGTGGCAGCTGATGATGATTTTCTGTATTCAGTTAGACAACAAATAGTTCAGTTAATTTCTTTATTATGCTAATATTATTCATGAACTTATTGTTCAGATAAAAAAATTACCAATCACATTCCATTAGTATCATGTCTTCCTTAAAACACATATTTTAGAAGTGCAGAAAAACTATACAATACAAATTGACTCCACAAAGTAGTACAATTTAATAGGAAATTGTAAAAAAAATTATAAGAAATATACATGTTATAGATTGTATTACTTACAAGATTAAGATGATTTATTTACCTTGCTGATGTTACGAATGAAAATTAAGTTCTAAGAAAATATTAGCAGTCCAGAAAAACTGCACGATACAAATTGACTCCACAAAGTAGTACTGTATGATAGGAATTTGTTAAAAATTATAAGAAACATACATGTTAAAGATTGTATTACTTACAAGATTAAGATGATTTATTTACCTTGCTGATGTTACGAATGAAAATTAAGTTCTAAGAAAATATTAGAAGTGCAGAAAAACTGCACGATACAAATTGACTCCACAAAGTAGTACAATTTAATAAGAATTTGTGGAAAATTATAAGAAAGCGAAAAATCATCAAAGCTTCAATAGTTTGTCAGACTTCTTAAAACAGATTTTCTGTTATTGTGATCTCTTCCTTAAAAAAAGATCATTTAGAAGTGCAGAAATGCTGCACAATACAAATCAACTCCACAAAGTACTACAATTTAGTAGGAATTTTTTTTATTAATTATAATAAAAATACTCGATACAGATTGTATTACTTACAAGACGAAGATCACGACTGTTGTCAGTTAATCCACAAGTATTTCAGATGATTTATTGACCTAGCTGATAACAATAAAATTAAAGTTATAATAAAAAGATGGCGAATTATCTCTTGGCAATACTACTTCAAAGGTTCACTCATTAATTCCAATGGTCCGGTCCTACAGCTAGATGCGGACCCTGGGCTCTTCAATGAGCCTTACAAGATGGCTCGGTCCTGTGCATCCGCTCCCTCATTCCATATTCCCAATGCACCCCTTAGCATATTAAGTACCCTTAGGCCAGAGTATCCTTAATGACCGCCACGATTCTGGAAGTTTGCTCAATAGCAGTTTCTTTGAGATTCCTTCCGTCGTTCATTTTATTAAGTGTGGTCGACTGAGGCAGGCCAGCAATGTAGCAAGGATGAACCTACTGCAAACATTTCTCACTAATGTCTAAAAACGTTTGTCAGTCTTCTTAGAGCAGTTTTTCTATTATTTCTATCCATTCCTTAAAAAAGACCTATTAGAAGTGCAGAAAAGCTGCACAATACAATATAATTCCACAAATTACTTTAATTATATTAAAAATACCTGACACAGATTGTATTTCTTACAAGAGAAAGATGATCGACTGCTGTATGTTAGTCCAGATATATTTCGGAAGATTTCTTTTCCATAATTGATATAATCTGAATGATCTCTTGGCATTACAAAGAAGCAGTCCCACCGCAAACATTCATCGGTACCAATGGTCCGGTCCTACAGCCAGATGCGGACCCTGGGCTCTTCAATGAGCCTTACAAGGTGGCTCGGTCCTGTGCATCCGCTCCCTCATTCCATATTCCCAATGCAACCCTTAGCATATTAAGTACCCTTAGGCCAGAGTATCTTTAATGACCGCCACGATTCTGGAAGTTTGCTCAATAGCAGTTTCTTTGAGATTCCTTCCGTCGTTCATTTTATTAAGTGTGGTCGACTGAGGCAGGCCAGCAATGTAGCAAGAATGAACCTACTGCAAACATTTCTCACTAATGTCTAAAAACGTTTGTCAGTCTTCTTAGAGCAGTTTTTCTATTATTTCTATCCATTCCTTAAAAAAGACCTATTAGAAGTGCAGAAAAGCTGCACAATACAATTTAATTCCCCAAATTACTTTAATTATATTAAAAATACCTGACACAGATTGTATTTCTTACAAGAGAAAGATGATCGACTGCTGTATGTTAGTCCAGATATACTTCGGAAGATTTCTTTTCCATAATTGATATAATCTGAATGATCTCTTGGCATTACAAGGAAGCAGTCCCACCGCAAACATTCATCGGTACCAATGGTCCGGTTCTACAGCCAGATGCGGACCCTGGGCTCTTCAATGAGCCTTACAAGGTGGCTCGGTCCTGTGCATCCGCTCCTTCATTCCATATTCCCAATGCACCCCTTAGCATATTAAGTACCCTTAGGCCAGAGTATCTTTAATGACCGCCACGATTCTGGAAGTTTGCTCAATAGCAGTTTCTTTGAGATTCCTTCCGTCGTTCATTTTATTAAGTGTGGTCGACTGAGGCAGGCCAGCAATGTAGCAAGAATGAACCTACTGCAAACATTTCTCACTAATGTCTAAAACGTTTGTCAGTCTTCTTAGAGCAGTTTTTCTATTATTTCTATCCATTCCTTAAAAAAGACCTATTAGAAGTGCAGAAAAGCTGCACAATACAATTTAATTCCACAAATTACTTTAATTATATTAAAAATACCTGACACAGATTGTATTTCTTACAAGAGAAAGATGATCGACTGCTGTATGTTAGTCCAGATATACTTCGGAAGATTTCTTTTCCATAATTGATATAATCTGAATGATCTCTTGGCATTACAAAGAAGCAGTCCCACCGCAAACATTCATCGCTACCAATGGTCCGGTCCTAGAGCCCGATGTGTACCCTGGCCTCCTCAATGTGCCTTAGCGAGGTGGAGGAGTCCTGTGCAGCCGCTCTCCCATTCCGTACACCCAAAAGGGGCCGAGCATCCTTAATGACCCCCAATAGTCATATTTCCCCAATAGTAGGTTCTTACAGATTCCTTCCATCGTTCATTTTATTAAGTTAATTCAGTGGTTGACTGAGATAGGCCGACAATGTAAAAAGAATGAAGCTAATGCAAACATTTCTCTTCCTTAAAAAAAGTCTTTAAGATGTGCAGTGAAACTGCACAATACAAATTGAATCCGCAAAGTACTTCATTTTAATAGAAATTTTTGTATTAATTATAGTAAAAATACTTATTAGAGATTGTATTACTTACAAGACGAAGACACGAATTTTGTCAGTTAGTCCAGAAGAATTTAAGATGATTTTTTCCTTGCTAATAATATGAATAAAATTGTAGTTCTTATAAATACATTGTGAATTCCCCTCGCATTAAAATAAAGGAGAACCCACTTCAATAGTTCATCAGACTTCTTAAGACAGTTTTTCTATTATTCTTATGGTTTCCTTAAAAAATATCTTTTAGAAATGCAGAAAAACTGCACGATACAAATTGACTCTACAAGGTACTTACAAGGAAATTTATTTATTAATAATGATAAAAATACCTGATACAGATCGTAATACATGGCAGCTCATGATGATTTTCCGTATTCAGTTCGACCACAAATAGTTCAGATAATTTCTTTAACATGCTAATATTATTCATGAACTTATTGTTCAGATAAAAAAATTACGAATCACATTCCATTAGTCTTATGTCTTCCTTAAAACACATATTTTAGAAGTGCAGAAAAACTGCACGATACAAATTGACTCCACAAAGTAGTACAATTTATTAGGAAATTGTAAAAAAAATTATAAGAAATATACATGTTAAAGATTGTATTACTTACAAGATTAAGATGATTTATTTACCTTGCTAATGTTATGAATGAAAATAAAGTTCTAAAAAAATATTAGAAGTGAAGAAAGCCACACGATACAAATTGACTCCACAAAGTAGTACAATATAATAGGAATATGTTAAAAATTATAAGAAATATACATGTTAAAGATTGTATTACTTAAAAGATTAAGATGATATATTTACCTTGCTAATGTTATGAATAAAAATATATTTGTAAAAAAATATTGAGAATTACCGTAATATTAAAATAAAGAAGAACACGCTTCAAACATTCGTCAGACTTTTTAAGGCAGATTTGGTATTATTCTGATCTCTTCCTTAAAAAACATCTCTTAGAAGTGCATAAAAACTGCACGATATAAATTGACTCCACAAAGTAGTACTATATGATAGGAATTTGTTAAAAATTATAAGAAATATACATGTTAAAAGATTGTATTACTTACAAGATTAAGATAATGACTATTGTTAGTTAGTACACAAGTATTTAAGATGATTTATTTACCTTGCTAATGTTATGAATGAAAATAAATTTGTAAAAAAATATTGAGAATTACCGTAATATTAAAATAAAGAAGAACACGCTTCAAACATTCGTCAGACTTTTTAAGGCAGATTTGTTATTATTCTGATCTCATCCTTAAAAAACATCTCTTAGAAGTGCATAAAAACTGCAAGATATAAATTGACTCCACAAAGTAGTACTATATGATAGGAATTTGTTAAAAATTATAAGAAATATACATTTTAAAGATTGTATTACTTACAAGATTAAGATGGTTTATTTACCTTGCTAATGTTATGAATGAAAATAAAGTTCTAAAAAAAATATTAGAAGTGCAGAAAAAACCGCATGATACAAATTGACTGCTCAAAGCAGTACAATTTGATAGAAATTTGTAAAAAATTATAAGAAACATACATGTTAAAGATTGTATTACTTACAAGATTAAGATGATTTATTTACCTTGCTAATGTTATGAATGAAAATAAAGTTCTAAAAAAATATTAGAAGTGCAGAAAAACTACACAATACAAATTGACTCCACAAAGTAGTACAATTTAATAGGAAATTGTAAAAAAATTATAAGAAATATACATGTTAAAAGATTGTATTACTTACAAAATTAAGATGATGACTATTGTTAGTTAGTCCACAAGTATTTAAGATGATTTATTTACCTTGCTAATGTTATGAATGAAAACAAAGTTGTAAAAAAATATTAAAAGTGCAGAAAAGCTGCATAATTCAAATTAACTCCATAAAGTACTCCAATGTAATAGAAATTTTGTTATTAGTCACAATAGAAATACCTATTATAAATTGTATTACTTACAAGAGGAAGATGACGACTGTTGTCAGGTAGCCCAGGTGTATTTCAGAAGAATCTTTTTCCTTGCTAATATTATGAATGAAATTATAGTTCTAATAAAAATATTGCTAATTCCCCTCGCATTTAACTAAAGGAAAACCCGCTTCAATAGTTTGTCAGACTTCTTAGGACAGATTTTCTGTTATTGTGATCTCTTCCTTAAAAAAAGGTAATTTAGAAGTGCAGAAACGCTGCACAATACAACTTGACTCCACAAAGTAGTACAATTTAATAGGAAATTGTAAAAAAAATTATAAGAAAGATACATGTTAAAGATTGTATTACTTACAAGATTAAGATGATTTATTTACCTTGCTAATGTTATGAATGAAAATAAAGTAAAAAAAAATATTAGCAGTCCAGAAAAACTGCACGATACAAATTGACTCTACAAAGTACTTGCAAGGAAATTTATTTATTAATAATAATAAAAATACCTGATACAGATCGTAATGCGTTGCAGCTGATGATGATTTTCTGTATTCAGTTAGACAACAAATAGTTCAGTTAATTTCTTTATTATGCTAATATTATTCATGAACTTATTGTTCAGATAAAAAAATTACCAATCACATTCCATTAGTCTCATGTCTTCCTTAAAACACATATTTTAGAAGTGCAGAAAAACTACACAATACAAATTGACTCCACAAAGTAGTACAATTTAATAGGAAATTGTAAAAAAAAATTATAAGAAATATACATGTTAAAGATTGTATTACTTACAAGATTAAGATGATTTCTTTACCTTGCTAATGTTATGAATGAAAATAAAGTTCTAAAAAAATATTAGCAGTCCAGAAAAACTGCACGACACAAATTGACTCCACAAAGTAGTACAATTTAATAAGAATTTGTAGAAAATTATAAGAAAGCGAAAAATCATCAAAGCTTCAATAGTTCGTCAGACTTCTTAAGAATGATTTTCTGTTATTGTGATCTCTTCCTTAAAAAAAGGTAATTTAGAAGTGCAGAAACGCTGCACAATACAAATCAATTCCACAAAGTACTACAATTTAGAAGGATTTTTTTTATTAATTATAATAAAAATACTCGATACAGATTGTATTACTTACAAGACGAAGATCACGACTGTTGTCAGTTAATCCACAAGTATTTCAGATGATTTATGAACCTAGCTGATAACAATAAAATTAAAGCTATAATAAAAAGATGGCGAATTATTTCTTGGCAATACGATACTGCAGTCCCTACTTCAAACGTTCACTCATTAATTCCAATGGTCCGGTCCTACAGCCAGATGCGGACCCTGGGCTCTTCAATGAGCCTTACAAGGTGGCTCGGTCCTGTGCATCCGCTCCCTCATTCCATATTCCCAATGCATCCCTTAGCATATTAAGTACCCTTAGGCCAGAGTATCCTTAATGACCGCCACGATTCTGGAAGTTTGCTCAATAGCAGTTTCTTTGAGATTCCTTCCGTCGTTCATTTTATTAAGTGTGGTCGACTGAGGCAGGCCAGCAATGTAGCAAGGATGAACCTACTGCAAACATTTCTCACTAATGTCTAAAAACGTTTGTCAGGCTTCTTAGAGCAGTTTTTCTATTATTTCTATCCATTCCTTAAAAAAGACCTATTAGAAGTGCAGAAAAGCTGCACAATACAATTTAATTCCACAAATTACTTTAATTATATTAAAAATACCTGACACAGATCGTATTTCTTACAAGAGAAAGATGATCGACTGCTGTATGTTAGTCCAGATATACTTCGGAAGATTTCTTTTCCATAATTGATATAATCTGAATGATCTCTTGGCATTACAAAGAAGAAGTCCACCGCAAACATTCATCGGTACCAATGGTCCGGTCCTACAGCCCGATGTGTACCCTGGCCTCCTCAATGTGCCTTAGCGAGGTGGAGGAGTCCTGTGCAGCCGCTCTCCCATTCCGTACACCCAAAAGGGGCCGAGCATCCTTAATGGCCCCCAATAGTCATGTTTCCCCAATAGTGGGTTCTTACAGATTCCTTCCATCGTTCATTTTATTAAGTTAATTCAGTGGTTGACTGAGATAGGCCGGCAATATAAAAAGAATGAAGCTAATGCAAATTTTTCTCTTCCTTAAAAAAAGTCTTTAAGATGTGCAGTGAAACTGCACAATACAAATTGAATCCGCAAAGTACTTCATTTTAATAGAAATTTTTGTATTAATTATAGTAAAAATACTTATTAGAGATTGTATTACTTACAAGACGAAGACACGAATTTTGTCAGTTAGTCCAGAAGAATTTAAGATGATTTTTTTCCTTGCTAATAATATGAATAAAATTGTAGTTCTTATAAAAACATTGTGAATTCCCCTTGCATTAAAATAAAAGGAGAACCCACTTCAATAGTTCATCCGACTTCTTAAGATAGATTTTCCATTATTCTTATGGTTTCCTTAAAAAATATCTTTTAGAAGTGCAGAAAAACTGCACGATACAAATTGACTCTACAAGGTACTTACAAGGAAATTTATTTATTAATAATGATAAAAATACCTGATACAGATCGTAATACATGGCCACTGATGATGATTTTCCGTATTCAGTTAGACCACAAATAGTTCAGATAATTTCTTTAACATGCTAATATTATTCATGAACTTATTGTTCAGATAAAAAAATTACGAATCACATTCCATTAGTCTTATGTCTTCCTTAAAACACATATTTTAGAAGTGCATAAAAACTGCACGATACAAATTGACGCCACAAAGTAGTACAATTTAATAGGAGTTTGTAAAAAAATTATAAGAAATATACATGTTAAAGATTGTATTACTTACAAGATTAAGATGATTTATTTACCTTGCTAATGTTATGAATGAAAATAAAGTTCTAAAAAAATATTAGAAGTGAAGAAAGCCACACGATACAAATTGACTCCACAAAGTAGTACAATATAATAGGAATTTGTTAAAAATTATAAGAAATATACATGTTAAAGATTGTATTACTTACAAGATTAAGATGATATATTTACCTTGCTAATGTTATGAATAAAAATATATTTGTAAAAAAATATTGAGAATTACCGTAATATTAAAATAAAGAAGAACACGCTTCAAACATTCGTCAGACTTTTTAAGGCAGATTTGTTATTATTCTGATCTCTTCCTTAAAAAACATCTCTTAGAAGTGCATAAAAACTGCACGATATAAATTGACTCCACAAAGTAGTACTATATGATAGGAATTTGTTAAAAATTATAAGAAATATACATGTTAAAAGATTGTATTACTTACAAGATTAAGATAATGACTATTGTTAGTTAGTACACAAGTATTTAAGATGATTTATTTACCTTGCTAATGTTATGAATGCAAATAAATTTGTAAAAAAATATTGAGAATTACCGTAATATTAAAATAAAGAAGAACACGCTTCAAACATTCGTCAGACTTTTTAAGGCAGATTTGTTATTATTCTGATCTCATCCTTAAAAAACATCTCTTAGAAGTGCATAAAAACTGCAAGATATAAATTGACTCCACAAAGTAGTACTATATGATAGGAATTTGTTAAAAATTATAGAAATATACATGTTAAAAGATTGTATTACTTAAAAGATTAAGATAATGACTATTGTTAGTTAGTACACAAGTATTTAAGATGATTTATTTACCTTGCTAATGTTATGAATGAAAATAAATTTGGAAAAAAAATATTGAGAATTACCGTAATATTAAAATAAAGAAGAACACGCTTCAAACATTCGTCAGACTTTTTAAGGCAGATTTGTTATTATTCTGATCTCTTCCTTAAAAAACATCTCTTAGAAGTGCATAAAAACTGCACGATATAAATTGACTCCACAAAGTAGTACTATATGATAGGAATTTGTTAAAAATTATAAGAAATATACATTTTAAAAGATTGTATTACTTACAAGATTAAGATGGTTTATTTACCTTGCTAATGTTATGAATGAAAATAAAGTTCTAAAAAAAATATTAGAAGTGCAGAAAAAACCGCATGATACAAATTGACTGCTCAAAGCAGTACAATTTGATAGAAATTTGTAAAAAATTATAAGAAACATACATGTTAAAGATTGTATTACTTACAAGATTAAGATGATTTATTTACCTTGCTAATGTTATGAATGAAAATAAAGTTCTAAAAAAATATTAGAAGTGCAGAAAAACTACACAATACAAATTGACTCCACAAAGTAGTACAATTTAATAGGAAATTGTAAAAAAAATTATAAGAAAGATACATGTTAAAGATTGTATTACTTACAAGATTAAGATGATTTATTTACCTTGCTAATGTTATGAATGAAAATAAAGTAAAAAAAAAATATTAGCAGTCCAGAAAAACTGCACGATACAAATTGACTCTACAAAGTACTTGCAAGGAAATTTATTTATTAATAATAATAAAAATACCTGATACAGATCGTAATGCGTTGCAGCTGATGATGATTTTCTGTATTCAGTTAGACAACAAATAGTTCAGTTAATTTCTTTATTATGCTAATATTATTCATGAACTTATTGTTCAGATAAAAAAATTACCAATCACATTCCATTAGTCTCATGTCTTCCTTAAAACAATATTTTAGAAGTGCAGAAAAACTACACAATACAAATTGACTCCACAAAGTAGTACAATTTAATAGGAAATTGTAAAAAAAAATTATAAGAAATATACATGTTAAAGATTGTATTACTTACAAGATTAAGATGATTTCTTTACCTTGCTAATGTTATGAATGAAAATAAAGTTCTAAAAAAATTTAGCAGTCCAGAAAAACTGCACGACACAAATTGACTCCACAAAGTAGTACAATTTAATAAGAATTTGTAGAAAATTATAAGAAAGCGAAAAATCATCAAAGCTTCAATAGTTCGTCAGACTTCTTAAGAATGATTTTCTGTTATTGTGATCTCTTCCTTAAAAAAAGGTAATTTAGAAGTGCAGAAACGCTGCACAATACAAATCAATTCCACAAAGTACTACAATTTAGAAGGATTTTTTTTTATTAATTATAATAAAAATACTCGATACAGATTGTATTACTTACAAGACGAAGATCACGACTGTTGTCAGTTAATCCACAAGTATTTCAGATGATTTATGAACCTAGCTGATAACAATAAAATTAAAGCTATAATAAAAAGATGGCGAATTATTTCTTGGCAATACGATACTGCAGTCCCTACTTCAAACGTTCACTCATTAATTCCAATGGTCCGGTCCTACAGCCAGATGCGGACCCTGGGCTCTTCAATGAGCCTTACAAGGTGGCTCGGTCCTGTGCATCCGCTCCCTCATTCCATATTCCCAATGCATCCCTTAGCATATTAAGTACCCTTAGGCCAGAGTATCCTTAATGACCGCCACGATTCTGGAAGTTTGCTCAATAGCAGTTTCTTTGAGATTCCTTCCGTCGTTCATTTTATTAAGTGTGGTCGACTGAGGCAGGCCAGCAATGTAGCAAGGATGAACCTACTGCAAACATTTCTCACTAATGTCTAAAAACGTTTGTCAGGCTTCTTAGAGCAGTTTTTCTATTATTTCTATCCATTCCTTAAAAAAGACCTATTAGAAGTGCAGAAAAGCTGCACAATACAATTTAATTCCACAAATTACTTTAATTATATTAAAAATACCTGACACAGATCGTATTTCTTACAAGAGAAAGATGATCGACTGCTGTATGTTAGTCCAGATATACTTCGGAAGATTTCTTTTCCATAATTGATATAATCTGAATGATCTCTTGGCATTACAAAGAAGAAGTCCCACCGCAAACATTCATCGGTACCAATGGTCCGGTCCTACAGCCCGATGTGTACCCTGGCCTCCTCAATGTGCCTTAGCGAGGTGGAGGAGTCCTGTGCAGCCGCTCTCCCATTCCGTACACCCAAAAGGGGCCGAGCATCCTTAATGGCCCCCAATAGTCATGTTTCCCCAATAGTGGGTTCTTACAGATTCCTTCCATCGTTCATTTTATTAAGTTAATTCAGTGGTTGACTGAGATAGGCCGGCAATATAAAAAGAATGAAGCTAATGCAAATTTTTCTCTTCCTTAAAAAAAGTCTTTAAGATGTGCAGTGAAACTGCACAATACAAATTGAATCCGCAAAGTACTTCATTTTAATAGAAATTTTTGTATTAATTATAGTAAAAATACTTATTAGAGATTGTATTACTTACAAGACGAAGACACGAATTTTGTCAGTTAGTCCAGAAGAATTTAAGATGATTTTTTTCCTTGCTAATAATATGAATAAAATTGTAGTTCTTATAAAAACATTGTGAATTCCCCTTGCATTAAATAAAAGGAGAACCCACTTCAATAGTTCATCGACTTCTTAAGATAGATTTTCCATTATTCTTATGGTTTCCTTAAAAAATATCTTTTAGAAGTGCAGAAAAACTGCACGATACAAATTGACTCTACAAGGTACTTACAAGGAAATTTATTTATTAATAATGATAAAAATACCTGATACAGATCGTAATACATGGCCACTGATGATGATTTTCCGTATTCAGTTAGACCACAAATAGTTCAGATAATTTCTTTAACATGCTAATATTATTCATGAACTTATTGTTCAGATAAAAAAATTACGAATCACATTCCATTAGTCTTATGTCTTCCTTAAAACACATATTTTAGAAGTGCATAAAAACTGCACGATACAAATTGACGCCACAAAGTAGTACAATTTAATAGGAGTTTGTAAAAAAATTATAAGAAATATACATGTTAAAGATTGTATTACTTACAAGATTAAGATGATTTATTTACCTTGCTAATGTTATGAATGAAAATAAAGTTCTAAAAAAATATTAGAAGTGCAGAAAAACTACACAATACAAATTGACTCCCAAAGTAGTACAATTTAATAGGAAATTGTAAAAAAATTATAAGAAATATACATGTTAAAAGATTGTATTACTTACAAAATTAAGATGATGACTATTGTTAGTTAGTCCACAAGTATTTAAGATGATTTATGAACCTAGCTGATAACAATAAAATTAAAGCTATAATAAAAAGATGGCGAATTATTTCTTGGCAATACGATACTGCAGTCCCTACTTCAAACGTTCACTCATTAATTCCAATGGTCCGGTCCTACAGCCAGATGCGGACCCTGGGCTCTTCAATGAGCCTTACAAGGTGGCTCGGTCCTGTGCATCCGCTCCCTCATTCCATATTCCCAATGCATCCCTTAGCATATTAAGTACCTTAGGCCAGAGTATCCTTAATGACCGCCACGATTCTGGAAGTTTGCTCAATAGCAGTTTCTTTGAGATTCCTTCCGTCGTTCATTTTATTAAGTGTGGTCGACTGAGGCAGGCCAGATGTAGCAAGGATGAACCTACTGCAAACATTTCTCACTAATGTCTAAAAACGTTTGTCAGGCTTCTTAGAGCAGTTTTTCTATTATTTCTATCCATTCCTTAAAAAAGACCTATTAGAAGTGCAGAAAAGCTGCACAATACAATTTAATTCCACAAATTACTTTAATTATATTAAAAATACCTGACACAGATCGTATTTCTTACAAGAGAAAGATGATCGACTGCTGTATGTTAGTCCAGATATACTTCGGAAGATTTCTTTTCCATAATTGATATAATCTGAATGATCTCTTGGCATTACAAAGAAGAAGTCCCACCGCAAACATTCATCGGTACCAATGGTCCGGTCCTACAGCCCGATGTGTACCCTGGCCTCCTCAATGTGCCTTAGCGAGGTGGAGGAGTCCTGTGCAGCCGCTCTCCATTCCGTACACCCAAAAGGGGCCGAGCATCCTTAATGGCCCCCAATAGTCATGTTTCCCCAATAGTGGGTTCTTACAGATTCCTTCCATCGTTCATTTTATTAAGTTAATTCAGTGGTTGACTGAGATAGGCCGGCAATATAAAAAGAATGAAGCTAATGCAAATTTTTCTCTTCCTTAAAAAAAGTCTTTAAGATGTGCAGTGAAACTGCACAATACAAATTGAATCCGCAAAGTACTTCATTTTAATAGAAATTTTTGTATTAATTATAGTAAAAATACTTATTAGAGATTGTATTACTTACAAGACGAAGACACGAATTTTGTCAGTTAGTCCAGAAGAATTTAAGATGATTTTTTTCCTTGCTAATAATATGAATAAAATTGTAGTTCTTATAAAAACATTGTGAATTCCCCTTGCATTAAAATAAAAGGAGAACCCACTTCAATAGTTCATCCGACTTCTTAAGATAGATTTTCCATTATTCTTATGGTTTCCTTAAAAAATATCTTTTAGAAGTGCAGAAAAACTGCACGATACAAATTGACTCTACAAGGTACTTACAAGGAAATTTATTTATTAATAATGATAAAAATACCTGATACAGATCGTAATACATGGCCACTGATGATGATTTTCCGTATTCAGTTAGACCACAAATAGTTCAAATAATTTCTTTAACATGCTAATATTATTCATGAACTTATTGTTCAGATAAAAAAATTACGAATCACATTCCATTAGTCTTATGTCTTCCTTAAAACACATATTTTAGAAGTGCATAAAAACTGCACGATACAAATTGACGCCACAAAGTAGTACAATTTAATAGGAGTTTGTAAAAAAATTATAAGAAATATACATGTTAAAGATTGTATTACTTACAAGATTAAGATGATTTATTTACCTTGCTAATGTTATGAATGAAAATAAAGTTCTAAAAAAATATTAGAAGTGCAGAAAAAACTACACAATACAAATTGACTCCACAAAGTAGTACAATTTAATAGGAAATTGTAAAAAAATTATAAGAAATATACATGTTAAAAGATTGTATTACTTACAAATTAAGATGATGACTATTGTTAGTTAGTCCACAAGTATTTAAGATGATTTATGAACCTAGCTGATAACAATAAAATTAAAGCTATAATAAAAAGATGGCGAATTATTTCTTGGCAATACGATACTGCAGTCCCTACTTCAAACGTTCACTCATTAATTCCAATGGTCCGGTCCTACAGCCAGATGCGGACCCTGGGCTCTTCAATGAGCCTTACAAGGTGGCTCGGTCCTGTGCATCCGCTCCCTCATTCCATATTCCCAATGCATCCCTTAGCATATTAAGTACCCTTAGGCCCAGAGTATCCTTAATGACCGCCACGATTCTGGAAGTTTGCTCAATAGCAGTTTCTTTGAGATTCCTTCCGTCGTTCATTTTATTAAGTGTGGTGACTGAGGCAGGCCAGCAATGTAGCAAGGATGAACCTACTGCAAACATTTCTCACTAATGTCTAAAAACGTTTGTCAGGCTTCTTAGAGCAGTTTTTCATTTTTCTATCCATTCCTTAAAAAAGACCTATTAGAAGTGCAGAAAAGCTGCACAATACAATTTAATTCCACAAATTACTTTAATTATATTAAAAATACCTGACAAGATCGTATTTCTTACAAGAGAAAGATGATCGACTGCTGTATGTTAGTCCAGATATACTTCGGAAGATTTCTTTTCCATAATTGATATAATCTGAATGATCTCTTGGCATTACAAGAAGAAGTCCCACCGCAAACATTCATCGGTACCAATGGTCCGGTCCTACAGCCCGATGTGTACCCTGGCCTCCTCAATGTGCCTTAGCGAGGTGGAGGAGTCCTGTGCAGCCGCTCTCCCATTCCGTACACCCAAAAGGGGCCGAGCATCCTTAATGGCCCCCAATAGTCATGTTTCCCCAATAGTGGGTTCTTACAGATTCCTTCCATCGTTCATTTTATTAAGTTAATTCAGTGGTTGACTGAGATAGGCCGGCAATATAAAAAGAATGAAGCTAATGCAAATTTTTCTCTTCCTTAAAAAAAGTCTTTAAGATGTGCAGTGAAACTGCACAATACAAATTGAATCCGCAAAGTACTTCATTTTAATAGAAATTTTTGTATTAATTATAGTAAAAATACTTATTAGAGATTGTATTACTTACAAGACGAAGACACGAATTTTGTCAGTTAGTCCAGAAGAATTTAAGATGATTTTTTTCCTTGCTAATAATATGAATAAAATTGTAGTTCTTATAAAAACATTGTGAATTCCCCTTGCATTAAAATAAAAGGAGAACCCACTTCAATAGTTCATCCGACTTCTTAAGATAGATTTTCCATTATTCTTATGGTTTCCTTAAAAAATATCTTTTAGAAGTGCAGAAAAACTGCACGATACAAATTGACTCTACAAGGTACTTACAAGGAAATTTATTTATTAATAATGATAAAAATACCTGATACAGATCGTAATACATGGCCACTGATGATGATTTTCCGTATTCAGTTAGACCACAAATAGTTCAGATAATTTCTTTAACATGCTAATATTATTCATGAACTTATTGTTCAGATAAAAAAATTACGAATCACATTCCATTAGTCTTATGTCTTCCTTAAAACACATATTTTAGAAGTGCATAAAAACTGCACGATACAAATTGACGCCACAAAGTAGTACAATTTAATAGGAGTTTGTAAAAAAATTATAAGAAATATACATGTTAAAGATTGTATTACTTACAAGATTAAGATGATTTATTTACCTTGCTAATGTTATGAATGAAAATAAAGTTCTAAAAAAATATTAGAAGTGAAGAAAGCCACACGATATAAATTGACGCCACAAAGTAGTACAATTTAATAGGAGTTTGTAAAAAAATTATAAGAAATATACATGTTAAAGATTGTATTACTTACAAGATTAAGATGATTTATTTACCTTGCTAATGTTATGAATGAAAATAAAGTTCTAAAAAAATATTAGAAGTGCAGAAAAACTACACAATACAAATTGACTCCACAAAGTAGTACAATTTAATAGGAAATTGTAAAAAAATTATAAGAAATATACATGTTAAAAGATTGTATTACTTACAAAATTAAGATGATGAC